GGTGGGTCCGTTCCCTGGCGGTGTCAAATTCGCTTGTGTACGAGACGTGATAGAGATAGCGAGACTCTGTGCTGAGAGCCTCACGTCCCATGCAAGGGATGAGACGTCCGAGGCGGTCTGACACAAAGCATTGGACGTGGTACACGTTGGTCGGCCCCCAATCTGTAATGCTGGTTACCATTGAATATGGGCCAATGAGCATGACGCATTCAGATGCTTCATGGATTGTGCCCGGTTTCTCGGCTCAAGACATTCGCGGGGTGTTTCCTCGTTAAAAAAACACAAATATGCATTAGAACACCCTTGCATTTCATTATATATTTTAATAACATAGCACTTATAATAAGACCCGGGTCTTATCGAATTTTTAGTCTATAATAAGACCCCCCCTTTTTTTTGTGAAATCAATAAGAGCCCCTAGGGTCTTTTATCCGGGAGAATACGGTATGAAGACCAGACATTGATGCCCCCCCTGTGCTCAACTTGCCATGTGCATTTTGTTTCTTAGTTTTTTATTTTTCCAAAGCCATGTTCCAATGTTTCGTTCTCAGGAGTGCGGTACCGTATCGCCCCGGATATAACCGCAGGCCTATTAAAAGCGCATGCGCTTATATCTGGAGCAATGCGCTTATGGCCGATCCTCAATTAGAAGCGCACCCCTTATAAAATCGTAACTTATTATAAGCGCACCCTTGTAAAAAAAAAATACACTTTGAATATGTCATTATCGTTAGAGCTAAAGCAAGGCTAGCCTTCAATAGGAAATTTTGCGCTACCTAAAAGTTTCACATACAATAGGATGACTATTGTCCTAGCCTAAACACCATCTTGCCTAGTCTAGCCTTAGGCCTCCACTTCCTCCACGTCCGATTCAGGCTCCGTGGAGTTGTTGCCCCAGAAACCGTCTGCTTGGATGTCGTCGTCTACCTCTACCTCGTGGCTCAGTTGGCTTCTCCGGTGTGCCATCACCATATGGTCCTCGTTCCCGTCAAGGGCATTGCTGATGCCGCACGTGAGGAAGGATTTCTTAATCAGGTCGGCGGGCACGGCCTTCCACGCCCGTGAAATCCACTTGAGCACCACCTCCGGGGGTGGTTTCTTGATGTTCCTTGCACCACATGAAAAGGAGTGGGGACTTTAGAACACAAGCAGGCAGACAAGCACACGAAGGGGAGACGGGAGGACATGTCCTCGCTCACCTGCAGGTGTTAGGATGTTCATGCCGTCCGCCTCAAACCAGGACTGGTACTGCTGGCGAACACTTGCTTTGAAGCTCTTGTTCACCGACACATCGAGCGGCTGCACGTCTGCCGTGCATCCTGCCGGGATGACCGCCGGCACGATGTTGAGCGCCGCGAATCTCACCTTGACTTCCTTGGTAAGGTGACCACGGTAGGAGTCGAGTACTAGCATGGCGCTCCGACTCTGCACGCCAAATTTGGGTTTCAGGAACGGCACCACGCCCTCATCGAGCCACTGGATGACGCCCGTGGCCTCCATCCACCCGTTCGCTTGGCAGCCGACCACGACATCTGCACACAAGCAAGCGGTGGTTAGTCATTTTTTTTTTTGTTTTTTTTAACGTCCAAAACACGCACAAGAACATGTGCTTACCATTCGGGAAGTCACCCTTAGGGAGTGTCTTGCGCTTGAAAAACACCCACGGCTTCAACTTCTTGCCCGTCGCCGTGCACGCCAGCATCACGGTGACTCTTTCTTTCTGGTAACGATCGCGTACTCGTTGCGTGCGTCGCGGACGAACTGCCAAAATTCTTTGCACTGTGTCGCCACGTCTGCGCACGGGGAGGGAAGGACAGATAGGAAGAAGGATGAGTACAACTCATAAACCATGCGAATTCGCTCGAGGTAAGCGGGAAACAAGGCACTTACGCTCCTGCGTTTTCTGCGCCACCTTATTTTTCATGCGCACGCTGAGGTTCCACCGCTTGCGGAACCGCTCTAACCACCGCTGACTCCCTTTCCACTTGACTTCCGGGAACAGCACCTTCATCACTTCGCGTGACCATTCTTGGAGCAGGCCGACCGAAACTGCAACACCGCGGCGTCGCCAGTTGAGGAGTTGAGCGTACACCTTTAACTCCATGGGTCAGTACCAAGAAGACCTCCCGCGCCCATGAAGTCGACACCGTGCGGCATGTGAAGCCTTGAGCTCCTCTGCTTGGGTTTTCCACTCCGTCAGGCATTTGCGGTGTATGCCGGACTCCCGCGCGACCTCGCTTATCGATGCCGCCAGCTCCAGCCGCACGAGCCACCTGAGTTTCTCCTGGGAGGTGTAGGCATGCCGTTTATGTTGAGACGGCTTGTGCCTGGGAGAGGGGGGGCGGGCATCTCGGTTCTGGGAGGACGGGTGGGGTCGTTTTTTGTTAATCGGCGGATACGTCGGTATCGGCATCTCCTCGCGTGGTGCGTCGCGCCACCATGACTCCACACCGTCGTCGTCCTCGGCACTTGCACCACGATCTGGGAACACGTCCTCCTCGGCGCCCGCTTCACCATCGCCGACACCGTCGCCGTCGCCGCTGTATTGTTTATCGGCGGCCACGTCATCGTCGGCGCCCACAGCCGACTCGTCCCACGTGCAGGCTTCGGGCTGTCCCCACCGTGGTGCAGGCGGCGGAGCCTTGATGAACACATCAGGGGCCTCGGGTGTGTCCGGTTCAAACAGCCACTCGTCGAAAGTGGCTGGTAAATACAGCTAGAGCACGGGCCGTTGGTGAGCACTGGCACCGATATCAGGCGGATTTGGAGGAGCGGGAGGTGCGGGAGGAGCAGGAGGAGCAGGAGGTGCAGGAGGAGCAAGGGGCATTGGGGGTTCAGGTGGCACTGGAGGCGCTGCGGGCTCACGGGTATACCACCCGTCGTCGGTAAGTCGCCATGGGCGAGCTCTCTTGTTCTTGAAGAGGAAGTGCGTCCCGCTGAATTCCGCCATGGCTTCGCCAGCCAGGCGGCCTACACTGGAATCTGAATGAAAAAAATGAAAGAGACGGTGCACAAATGGGCAACGAAGGGGACCCTGTAAGGTTGGCGCCTCGGGGTCCTCGTCAATGACAGGCGGGAAACCCCCGCCTACCCCCGTAGAGGACCCTGCGTGGCAGCATAATCGCTGCGCTGGCAGGGAATATTCCCCACCCTTCGAGAGGGTTCGGAAGAAATGCACATGCCATGCAATGCATGCGACTGTGATTGGGCCGCACGGCAACATCCCCGTCACTGCTGTCACGATCGATGGTTCTAGACAAAACTGTGCGGTGGGAAACCGAACCGCTGCTGTTTTTGTCTGAAAACCATGCACGATCCCACGTGTTGCATGGTCGGTTGAATTCGCCTTTTTGCAGGCTTCAATTTGGTATGTTTAAAAGTGATTTTTTTTTCCTATTACAAGCGCATGCGCTTATAAAAATGTCTCAATTAGAAGCGCACCCCCCTAAAAAACACTGCTTTATTATAAGCGCACTTGCGCTTCTATCCGGGGTAATATGGTACCGTACGATTGCGGAATGTTTGAACTACGGTAGTAAGACTTGGGATCAGGGCTGACTTTTCAAATTTAGGTACCCTGATTTCAACCTACAAAAAAAAAAAATACCCTGAAGGCACATTTTCCAGAAAAACAGCACCCTGATTGCTCAGGGTTGAGAAGTAGTGAACTCTGAATGTTCAGGGTCGATAATTGAAAATCAGGGTCGTAGTAACGCGCTCTTTCTTTACCGAGGACAGAAGTCTCACTCAATCAGAAGTCTCATTCTTTACCCTAATCGCAACATCTGCTCGAAATCTGACAGTCTCCGGGGAATTCAAGCAGAATCTGCCTTGACCTAGCGCTAAAGGGATTTCCGTACGGAGCAGAGGTCGAATCTGCTGTTGGTGTCGCAAGGGTGACTGTGACTGGCGCTGTGACTAGCGTGCTGTCACTTGCGATGTGACTGGCAATGTGACTGGCACTGTGGCGATGTGACTGGCGCTGTGTTAGAGCACATCTATTTCGACCAATAACAGCAACCTAAAATCTGACATTACAGATTCGCCCGATCTAGATGGTGGGTGTATGGGAACGAAACTTCGAAGAAACTTCGTCTCGATAAAGCGAGGGGGGGGGGGTGGGGGGGGGGGGGGGGGGGGGGGGGGAGGATTACGCACGTGGGGGGCACTGAAATCAATGCGAAGGGGTTATCAGGAGGAAATTTCCGAGAAACTTCGCCCCGATAACATCGCATTCAGGGTCCACAGGCCTCGTACTCTGTATTGACAGGGTCCGTGAAAACCCTACACTGAGAGTGTACACAAAATTTCAGGGTCCGCTAAAGCAATACTCTGAATGGATCAGGGACCAAAATGTGAAAAACCTGATTTCTCAGGGTCTAGAAAGTGACAAGTCTGAAATCACCCTGAAATCAGGGTAATTACCCTGATAAAATCAGCCCTGCTTGGGATACAAATAGACAACCCTAAAAGAGTTGTACTCTCTAGGGAGTACCTCGGTATAGCCTAACACACAATCAAACCAGTTGACATTCGTGTCCAATTGGAGGTGCATAATAAGTTAGGGCGGTCTTTGTGTTGCGTTGGATTGCCCATCAGGATTCCACACACACCGTACCGGCACCACCTGGATGGTAGACCGGGGGGGGACACCCTAGTCTGGTACCAGTAATGAATGAGTGGTGATTTTTTATGTAGGGTTTAGGTTTTAGGGTTTATGAAAGGGAAGAACTGTTTGAAACCCGTGGTCTAATCTTGCAATATTATGGTGCAATGCCCAGCAATTGGCACGACAACGAGGTGCAGCATGGGATTAGCCTTTTAGAAACTTTTGAGCTCTGCTAGTTACACACAAAATACAGCGGCTATGAGCTTTGCTGCGACAAAGAACCCATGCCCGCTTGCGAAATGGAGGAGTATCGAGCCATCACAAGGTTTGAGTTGAGACGTCTCAGAAATGGAGTATGCGGCACAAGTTAACATAAGTCAACAATGCAGCACTATCGGGCACGGGGGCCCGTGACGGTCTGATGGTTTGTGCCGGTGTCATCATACCCATCCACCCCTCCCTGCTTCCCAGGGAAGTTTGACCAGTTTGACCCCAGTTGACCACTGGAAGCCGGCATGTGGTTCCAGAGAGTTGACAGGCTGGCAGTGCCCCCTGTGAGCCCACTCTCAGGCGACCGGGCGGCAGAAGAGTAACCTCCTCCTGCTGCACTGGTGGTGCGACTGGCAAACGACACGTCAGCAGCACTGTAACCACTTGGGACTGCCCCTGAGGGGCCCGCAGAAGCACCTCCCCCAGGTAGCGCCCGGAGTTGGTCCCTGATGCTGCGCAGCTCAGATATGACCTGCTCCATGTCGGGACGAAGCGAGGGGTGCTCTGCCGTGCACCACAGCGCCACCCGCAGGAACGTACCGAACGTCTCCTCCAACCCCTCCACCATCTCCCCCGCACTCACTTCCCCACCCGCAGCAGCGGCAGCAGCGGCAGCAGCAGCACCACTACCAGCAGCACTGTGATAGGAAGCACCATTTGATGCAGCAGCAGTAGGAAAAAGACCCCCAGCAGCAGTAGCAGTGGCTAGAAGCTCAGAGAGTTTGGGGTCGATGGCGGCGGGCAGACCGTCTTGGCCGAAGGCGAGGTGCAGCACGACCTGGCTGAGTGGCACTCCCTGAATGACGGGCGGCTGCCCCGTGGCCAGCTGCAGCAGCACCACCCCGAAGCTGAACACGTCACTGCGCTCCGTCAGCACCTCTGACACCGCGAAGTGTGGGTCTATGTAGCCCTGCAGGTTGCGCATCGGGGGGGGGGGGGGGGGGGGAGAGGAGGAAAGAGAGGGGGAAGAGAGCGGAACGGGAAGCTGAACACGTCACTGCGCTCTGTTAGCACCTCCGACACCGCAAAGTGTGGGCCTATGTAGCCCTGGCAAAAGGGGGGAGGGGGGGGTGGAGTAGGGGGGATGGGAGGTTGACAGCACAGTGAGTTGACTGTGCAAAGTGTGGGTCGATGTAGCCCTGACAGTAGAGAGGGTAGGAGATGGGAGGTTGGCAGCATAGTGAGTTGACTGTGCAAAGTGCGGGTTGATGTAGCCCTGACAGTAGAGAGGGTAGGAGATGGGAGGTTGGCAGCACAGTGAGTTGACTGTGCAAAGTGCGGGTTGATGTAGCCCTGACAGTAGAGAGGGTAGGAGATGGGAGGTTGGTAGCATAGTGAGTTGACTGTGCAAAGTGCGGGTTGATGTAGCCCTGACAGTAGAGAGGGTAGGAGATGGGAGGTTGGCAGCATAGTGAGTTGACTGCAAAGTGTGGGTCGATGTAGCCCTGGAAGAGCGGGGCTGGGGGTGGGCGGGAAAGAAGGGGAAAAGGGGGTGTTGACAACATAGTAAATTGACTGCACTAAGTGCAGGCCGATGTAGTCCTGAGGGGGGGGGGGGGGGGGGGGGGGAGAGGAGAGGAATAGGGGGTTGACAACATAGTGAGTTCAACTGAGAAAAGTGCGGGTCCATGCAGCGTTGGGGAGAAGGGATAGGAGAGAGAAGAGAGGCACACATGGGATGCGACTGGAGGATCTAGAGTGCAACTTGAGCAACAAGGTGGTTTTTTAGTCGACTAAAAAATCGCCTCATCACACAAGAGAAGAACACATGGGACTTGAAGATCTAGAGTACAACTTGAGCAACAAGGTGAGCAAGTGCTCGTCTCGTTGACTACTCGCCACGGTCGGGGAATGTGGCCTTATGTCAGTAATGCTCGACAAGGAAACACGTTCTTGCTTTTTGCTCAGCCAGAAAGGCGGGAAAACACTACATGCAAGTTGATTCTCCTCGCAAATTGTTTACCTACTTCACACGTTCTCAACTTGCTGACAAAATGACAGTTTGTTTTGTGTGTGTGTGTGCGTGTGTGTGCGTGTGTGTGTGTGTGTGCGTGGTTTTGGGGGGAGGATTGTATTTCTCACCTTGCTGCCAATGATCTCACCTTGCTGCCAATGATCTCACCTTGCTGCCAATGATCTCACCTTGCTGCCAATGATCTCACCTTGCTCCCAATGATCTCACCTTGCTGCCAATGATCTCACCTTGCTGCCAATGATCTCACCTTGCTCCCAATGATCTCACCTTGCTGCCAATGATCTCACCTTGCTGCCAATGATCTCACCTTGCTGCCGATGATCTCACCTTGCTGCCAATGATCTCACCTTGCTCCCAATGATCTCACCTTGCTGCCAATGATCTCACCTTGCTGCCAATGATCTCACCTTGCTCCCAATGATCTCACCTTGCTGCCAATGATCTCACCTTGCGCCCAATGATCTCACCTTGCTGCCAATGATCTCACCTTGCTGCCAATGATCTCACCTTGCTGCCAATGATCTCACCTTGCTGCCAATGATCTCACCTTGCTGCCGATGATCTCACCTTGCTGCCAATGATCTCACCTTGCTCCCAATGATCTCACCTTGCTGCCAATGATCTCACCTTGCTCCCAATGATCTCACCTTGCTGCCAATGATCTCACCTTGCTCCCAATGATCTCACCTTGCTGCCAATGATCTCACCTTGCTGCCAATGATCTCACCTTGCTGCCAATGATCTCACCTTGCTGCCAATGATCTCACCTTGCTGCCAATGATCTCACCTTGCTCCCAATGATCTCACCTTGCTCCCAATGATCTCACCTTGCTGCCAATGATCTCACCTTGCTGCCAATGATCTCACCTTGCTCCCAATGATCTCACCTTGCTGCCAATGATCTCACCTTGCTGCCAATGATCTCACCTTGCTCCCAATGATCTCACCTTGCTGCCAATGATCTCACCTTGCTGCCAATGATCTCACCTTGCTGCCAATGATCTCACCTTGCTGCCAATGATCTCACCTTGCTGCCAATGATCTCACCTTGCTGCCAATGATCTCACCTTGCTGCCAATTATCTCACCTTGCTGCCAATTATCTCACCTTGCTGCCAATGATCTCACCTTGCTGCCAATGATCTCACCTTGCTGCCAATGATCTCACCTTGCTGCCAATGATCTCACCTTGCTGCCAATGATCTCACCTTGCTGCCAATGATCTCACCTTGCTGCCAATGATCTCACCTTGCTCCCAATGATCTCACCTTGCTGCCAATGATCTCACCTTGCTGCCAATGATCTCACCTTGCTCCCAATGATCTCACCTTGCTGCCAATGATCTCACCTTGCTGCCAATGATCTCACCTTGCTGCCGATGATCTCACCTTGCTGCCAATGATCTCACCTTGCTCCCAATGATCTCACCTTGCTGCCAATGATCTCACCTTGCTGCCAATGATCTCACCTTGCTCCCAATGATCTCACCTTGCTGCCAATGATCTCACCTTGCTCCCAATGATCTCACCTTGCTGCCAATGATCTCACCTTGCTGCCAATGATCTCACCTTGCTGCCAATGATCTCACCTTGCTGCCAATGATCTCACCTTGCTGCCGATGATCTCACCTTGCTGCCAATGATCTCACCTTGCTCCCAATGATCTCACCTTGCTGCCAATGATCTCACCTTGCTCCCAATGATCTCACCTTGCTGCCAATGATCTCACCTTGCTCCCAATGATCTCACCTTGCTGCCAATGATCTCATCTTGCTGCCAATGATCTCACCTTGCTGCCAATGATCTCACCTTGCTGCCAATGATCTCACCTTGCTGCCAATGATCTCACCTTGCTCCCAATGATCTCACCTTGCTCCCAATGATCTCACCTTGCTGCCAATGATCTCACCTTGCTGCCAATGATCTCACCTTGCTCCCAATGATCTCACCTTGCTGCCAATGATCTCACCTTGCTGCCAATGATCTCACCTTGCTCCCAATGATCTCACCTTGCTGCCAATGATCTCACCTTGCTGCCAATGATCTCACCTTGCTGCCAATGATCTCACCTTGCTGCCAATGATCTCACCTTGCTGCCAATGATCTCACCTTGCTGCCAATTATCTCACCTTGCTGCCAATGATCTCACCTTGCTGCCAATTATCTCACCTTGCTCCCAATGATCTCACCTTGCTCCCAATGATCTCACCTTGCTGCCAATGATCTCACCTTGCTGCCAATGATCTCACCTTGCTCCCAATGATCTCACCTTGCTGCCAATGATCTCACCTTGCTGCCAATGATCTCACCTTGCTCCCAATGATCTCACCTTGCTGCCAATGATCTCACCTTGCTGCCAATGATCTCACCTTGCTGCCAATGATCTCACCTTGCTGCCAATGATCTCACCTTGCTGCCAATGATCTCACCTTGCTGCCAATTATCTCACCTTGCTGCCAATGATCTCACCTTGCTGCCAATTATCTCACCTTGCTGCCAATGATCTCACCTTGCTGCCAATGATCTCACCTTGCTGCCAATGATCTCACCTTGCTGCCAATTATCTCACCTTGCTGCCAATGATCTCACCTTGCTGCCAATGATCTCACCTTGCTGCCAATGATCTCACCTTGCTGCCAATTATCTCACCTTGCTGCCAATGATCTCACCTTGCTGCCAATGATCTCACCTTGCTGCCAATGATCTCACCTTGCTGCCAATTATCTCACCTTGCTGCCAATGATCTCACCTTGCTGCCAATGATCTCACCTTGCTGCCAATGATCTCACCTTGCTGCCAATTATCTCACCTTGCTGCCAATGATCTCACCTTGCTGCCAATGATCTCACCTTGCTGCCGATGATCTCCTCCTGCACCAGCTCGCCCCGTTCTGGCAGCGACTTGGAAATGCCAAAGTCCGCCACCTTGGCTTCCAGAGATGCCGTCAGCAGAATGTTGGCCGGCTGGGGGGGAGAGGAGAGTGAGGGGGAGAGAAAAAGGTAAAACAAAAAAAAGGTTATCAGATTGGGAATGGTGGGGATGGTAGCATATTTGTTCTTAAAATACAATTGGATGGCAGAATACTTTAATATCACGGTGGATGATGCCGGGCCTCATCTCCTTTAATACAATTCCGGCCCCACCATGTACCATTTATAAACTTTTGGCACTCGCCCTGCCAAATGTATACTGCTGGTTGAGATAGTGAAGAACATAACAACTTTTGAGTGTGTGGCAGCACGCACCTTGATATCACGGTGAATGATGCCGGGCCTCATCTCCTTGTGCAAGTAGTGCAGCGCACTCGCGGCATCAAGAGCGATCCGCATTCTCTCCCTCCACGATAGAACACGCCCCGTCTTACCTGCAATGGCATTCAATAAGGCAGTGTTAAACAGACTGATTAAAAAAAAGAATCATTCTCTCCTTCAATGATAGAATGCGCCCTGTCTTGCCTGCCGTTTGGCATTCAAGGTAGTGTTAAACAGAATAGGAAAAAAGTACAGGACATTACACACAAATGCTTCCAACGAGGGTGAAGTCAAAATCAAGCGGTGTCAAACCTTGCTCCACACACCCAACCAACCGCACACAACCCACTGCATCCAATGGCAACCCACCTTTGATCCAGGCGTCCAGCGCCCCCCCCTCCATGAATTCGAACACCAGCAGCTGCTCGTCCTTCTCCACACAGAAGCCAGTGAGCTTCACCAGGTTGCCGTGTGACACGGCTGTCAGCATCTCGATCTCGTTCTTGAAATCCACCCCGTCGTGCCGCCGTTTCTCCGTCGCTTTCTTTACCGCCACCGACTCGCCGTTGAGAATGCCGTGGTACACCTGATGGGGGAAGGGGAAGCATTGTTTCCGACTAAACTCAAATAGCACAGATCATGGAGGCGCCTTAAAATATATATACCAGCTCTTCAGAAAAAATGCCATGGTATGGGATGGGGCGGACATATATATATATATATATATTTTAGGCACATAAGGGATAAGTATACCTTATTAGAATGCCATGTCTACATGTGATGTGGCAACATGCATAGGGAAGGGAACTACGGAAATGCTTGGGACAAGATAAAAAAGAACAGGGAATGAGATGGATGGAGAGGAGAGAGAAGCAACAGGGAAAATGCCTCTTGATTTGGCCTCAAGGCTTCACCTTGCCGTAACCGCCCGTGCCCAGCACGAGCGAGTCATCCAAGCCATTGGTTGCCTCGCCTCCCTTACAATACAATGTTACTCTCTCAGGCAGAGGAACCGCCTTCCCCTCCCTCTCGGCTTCACCTTGCCGTAACCGCCCGTGCCCAGCATGGCCGAGTCATCAAAGCCGTTGGTTGCCTCTGCCAGCTGTCGCAGTGTTCCTTCCTAACTCTCATGCCCTTCCAGACCCTCTCAACTCATGCTCTCCCGTAGACATGAGCAACGAGCGAACCGAACACGTTTGTCTCGAACAGTTTGCGAACACTTGGTCAATTCGAACCGAACCGAACACGTTTGACTCGAACAGTTTTCTTAAATGTTAGTGTTCCCCGTTCGAGTATAGGGTCGAACAGTTTTGAGGCAAGGCCGAACACTAAGGTGTTTGACCCGAACTCGAACAGTTTGCTTTGGGGGGTTCTTTCAGTATAGTCACATTAAGGCAGGGCGAGTGTACTAGAAGCAATATCACGTTCCCTATAGCCCTACAAGAGATATAGTTAGGCTTGGCGCAGATCTGGTGGATATCCAATTTCGCCTTGCTAAACTCCAACCTAAACCGAAATGCCCTTAGTACCTAATTTTAACCGTCTCCTACCCTAATCCAACCTTATACCTAACGTTTCCAGCCACAATGTGGAATTTTGACCGTGGGAATGTGGTAGTTTTAGTGGGTAGGGGGCGGAATGTCATCCTTAGGCTATATCGACGATTGAGCTCATTCTTGAGCTCAATCGTTGCCCTCCCCTTTTAGATCCAACCAGCGTGTCATACTTTGACACGCTGAATTTTCCCTCGAACGCCTAGGTGTTCGAGACGAACACATTGTGTTCTCCAACACCTTGGTGTTCATGTATTTTTCTGCACACGAACACTCGAACAGTCGAACGTGTTCGTGACGAACAATTTTGGGCAAAAAAAACAGTCGAACACGTTCGAGTCGAACACTTTCGAGTCGAACCGAACAGATGTTCGAATTTTTGCTCATGTCTACTCTCCCGTGCCCTCTCACACCTACCTTGCCGAAGCCTCCCTCCCCCAGCACGGCCGAGTCATCAAAGCCGTTGGTTGCCTCTGCCAGCTGTCGCAGAGAGTAGCGCCGTGCGTGCTGCAGGGTGATGCCCTCCAATGCCTCGTAGTCCGCATGGCTCCACCCTGCCAGTGAGGAGGGAGGGATTGGGGGGTGATGAATGGGTGACAAGGTAAGGGAAGCGAGTAGCGGCGGGCGTGCTGCAGGGTGATGCCCTCCAAGGCCTCGTAGTCCGCATGGCTCCACCCTGGGTTAGGGTGGGGGAATGAGTGGGAGAGGGCGATGAAAGGGTGAAAAGATCGAGGGGCGGAGGGTGGGCGAGTAGCGGCAGAGTGATGCCCTCCAATCCAATGCCTCATAGTCCGGATGGCTCCACCCTAGGAGGGGGGGGAGGGTAAGAAGGAGGGGTGGAGGGGGGGCGATGAATGGGAGAAGGAAGGGGAAGGTCAAGGGCGTGCTGCAGGGTGATGCCCTCCAGTGCCTCGTGGTCCGCATGGCTCCACCCTGGGGGGGGGGTGTTGGTGGTGGGGTCTGATGAATGGATGAGGGTTATGAATGGGTGAGAGGGGTGACCGGGCGGGGGGTGAGGCTGAAGGTCAACGAGCGTGCTGCAGGGTGATTCTCCAAGGCCTCATGGTCCGCATGGCTCCACCCTGAGAGAATGTGGGGGGATGATGAATGGAGGAGGGTGGTGAATGGTTGAGAACGATGGAGGACCGTGGCACTGGGGGGCACTGGGGAAATCATAATGATGCTTGCCAAATTTTCCTCTACCCCACATACCACCATTTTGGTGCTTTTTTGTATTGTCATTTATTTATTGATTGTTTTCTAATCAATTGGAAAACCATGAGACCACTTTCACGCATTAGAATTCCGCCCATCCTTCTTCCTCGTCCCACCTCTTTCCTCTCTCTCCCAACTCGATCTACCCCCTCCCACCTCTCTCTTCCCTCTCCCCTCTCTCCTCCCCCTCACCTTTTCTCTTACCTCTCACCTCTCTTTAACCTCTCTTGTCCATGAGGGTGTTGACATGGCAGCAACAGCAGCAGGGCCGCATGAGCAGAGCCACAATGAGGAGGGCGATGACAACGGCAGCGGCTTTTGAGTCGACTAAGAACACACTCACCACACATCTCCCGCTCACCTCGCCTCTCCCAGGGGCGCATGAGCAGAGCCACAATGAGGGCGATGGCAACAGCAGCGGAGCACACTGAGATGGCCACGATGGCACCCGTGCTCAGCCCAGACGAGGACTGCTGCTGCGATGGTGGGTTGTAGGCTGTGGTTGGAAAGAGAGAAAGAAAGAACGGTTACACACATGACGGGCAAAACTCAAGACACAAGGGAGGGTTGAAGGTGGGAAGCAGAAGAGGGATTGCTCAGAAAGTGAAAGCTTCAAGTCGAGAAAAGCAGAGGCAATTGCTAACAGTCAGTGAAGGGGTGAGCTCCAAGCTTGTATTGTTCGACCAAAGAAGCTCAGACAATCACATGACGCAACTCACTCGCCCTCCAGACAAAAGCATAAAACACCAGACTCACGCGCCGGGCCGTAGAATCCTGCGACTCGAAAGAGCCCAAAGTTGCCGAGAGCAACGCGCACGGCCAGGTCCCGCGAGGTGAGGGCGTTGCGGATGGCCTGCGGTGTGTCTCGCGGGTACCAGCTGCCATCGCCGCCCGGCGGAAAGAAGAGAACGGTGATGATGAGCGTGGACTGGTGGTCTGCGTGTTCCGAGGCAAAGGTGGAGGCGAGCGAGTAGATAGAGGCGGGGCTGCTGATGGCCGAGATGAGGAGCTGGTCGAGGGGAGGGTGGAGGAGGGAAAGGGGAGGGAGTGAGAGTGAAAGAAATAAAAAATAAATCCTAGATGTGTGGGTGCTGCACTTTGGGAATGCTCTGTGGCCTGTGGTGTGCTGTGGGGGGACCACCACCAGCTAATGTTGCCCCCTCCGGAGGCAAGAAGAGGAGCGTGATGATGAGCGTGGACTGGTGGTCCGCGTGCTCCGAGGCAAAGGTGGAGGCGAGCGAGGAGATAGAGGCGGGGCTGCTGATGGCAGACACGAGGAGCTGGTGGGGGAGTGATAGGGACAGACAGAAGGGTGATGAAGAGAAGTGGCTTCAGCATGCGTGGTGTGCTCGGCAGGGAATGACGATGCTAGCGAGCAGAGGGTGGTAGAGTAGCTGATGTCTGAAGATAGTAGCAAACATAAACTTAAGTAACGCACTTATGCTTCGTATCAAAACATCAGCTTAAATAACACATTTATACTTCGTACCAAACCATAAGCTTAAGTAACGCACGAATACGTAAAAACACAAGCATACTTAGTTCCCACATCTGACCAGTTAAGTCTGTTAGATTATACTACTCTTTTGTATCCTGCATTGATCCTATAAACCCTAGGACAGAGATAGGCACCCAAACTATGTTTGGGTGCACAACTAGGGTTAACCCTAGTTGGGGGTTGGAACCCAACCTTGGTCCAATTATTGGCCCCCAAGGTTGAGTTGAGAGATTATTGGCCCCCCCAATAATGTTGGCCCACTTTTGGCCAACATTATTGGGACCCCCCAATAATTCTCCAACCTAACTTATTGGTGGGGGGCCAATAATGATGACTGGGTACCCAACCAACCCCCCCTCCCCTAGCTTCACTATGTAAGCCCGTATGATTCCTAATCAAGAATATGGTTCAATTCTAACATGGTAATCAGAGCTCTTACGGCCAACGCCGCTCAAGATCCTAGGACCCCTCGCGCTACTTAGCGCACCTCTCGCCGGCTCAGCCGCGCCTCTCGCGCCACTTAGCGCGCCTCACGCGCCACTTAGCGCGCCTCTCGCGCCACTTAGCGCACCTCTCCCCGGCTCTGCCGCACCTCTTGCGCCACTTAGCGCACCTCTCACCTACTCTGCCGCGCCTCTCGCGCAACTTAGCGCACTTCCGCCGGCTCTGCCGTGCCCCTCGCGCCATCTCGGCGCTCCTCTCCTCCCCTCGACCGTCCGCCGCGACGAACGCGACCGTCAGCCGCGGACGCGACGACCGCGACCGACAACCGCGGACGCGACGTCCGCGCCGACGGCAAGGGCGGACGCGACGTCCGCGCCAACGACGAGGGCGGACGCGACGTCCGCGCCGACGGGCAGCGCGGACGCGACATCCGCGCCGACGACAAGGGCGGACGCGATGTCCGCGCCGACGGGCAGCGCGGACGCGACATCCGCGCCAACGACGAGGGCGGACGCGACGTTCGCGCCGACGGGCAGCGCGGACGCGACATCCGCGCCAACGACGAGGGCGGACGTGACGTCCGCGCCGACGGGCAGCGCGGACGCGCCACCCGCGCCGACGACGAGGGCGGTCGCGACGTCCGCGCCGACGGTCAGCACGGACGCGACATCCGCGGACAGCCGCCGCGGACGGGACGAACGCGGGCAGCCGCCGCGAACGGGACGAACGCGGGCAGCCGCCGCGGACGAGACGAACGCGGGCAGCCGCCGCGGACGGGACGAACGCGGGCAACCGCCGAGGACGGGACGAACGCGGGCAGCAGCTGCGGACGGGACGAACGCGGGCAGCAGCCGCGGACGGGACGAACGCGGGCAGCCGCGAACGCGACCAGACGGGGGAGTACCCAGCTGCGGACAGCACGCAACTCATCCCCACCACTGACCGCGCCGTCCCTCCGGACAGCGTCGTCACCTCTAGCACCTCCACCCTCCCCTCCTCCCTCACTCGTCATGGCGGACGAACCTTCGTCGCTTGAGCTCGCCTCGATCGACAAACTCGAGCTCCTCAACGGCACCACCGCAGTCAATTGGGTGTCGTTCGAGGAGAGTCTCTTCACGTACCTTGGCTCCGTCCGAGTGGGAGATTATTGCCTTCTTGACGTCGTCCTCGAAACGTCTCACGGCCTCCCTCCCACCCCGCCCCCGCTCCCAGGCTCCTCCCCTCCTGACGCCCCACCACTCCCGACCGAACCCGCCCCTCAAGCCCCCATCCTAGGGGCTTGGGAGGATGACCCAGACAGGTGGGCTCGCACCCTCAACAAGTACAACAAGGAGCGAGACGACTACGTCATCAAGGGCAGAGCACACGCGGCTGTCGTCGCCGCTCACGAAGCTGCTACTGCAAAACTTGCAGAGTTCAAAGCCATCTCCGAAGCGTACTCTACTAACCTTCGTAAGCATCACTCCGATACTGCTGCATGGCGCATTGCTGACCACCGTGCACTCACTGTCATCTTCTCGTGCGTTCCCTCCTCCCTTAAACGTGACCTTCGCCCTCCATCCTCCCCCTCTCTCTGGAAGTCTCTCTCCTCCCAATATGACCGTCAGGACTTACGCTCACTCCTCTCCCTCTTTCGCACCTTCCAAGACATCACCCTTGACTCCTCCCTCAATGCTGCCTCCTTCGCTCGGCGTCTCACGGACACTGCGCAACGCCTCAATGATCGAGGCATCTTGATCTCAGACACCGTTCTTACTGCACGCATCCTTGACTGCCTCCCACCCACCTATGACACCTACCGCATCAACTTCACCTCCCAGCACATTCGTCCTCCCCCTGTAGCTGTTACCATCGACTGGCTCCTTGACAGTGAGGCTGACCTCCTGCGTGACTCTGCAACGGTCAATGCTGTTTACGCTCGCAAAGGAACCAATAACACTGGCGGAAGCAGCAGCAGCGGACCTGGACGTGGTTCAAGTGGAGGAAGTCGAGGAGGCGGTCGCGGAGGCGGACGAGGAGGGCGCACTGGGGAATGCGGCGGACGTGGAGCAACTACTCCATCCACGGGTGGGTTTCCCCCGTGTCAGTACGTCATTCGTCAAGGCCCCACCAAAGGTCAGACCTGCAACCAGACCACTCATCCAACAGAAACGTGCTTCAAAGCCCTCACTGATGAATGGCTTGCACGCGGCAACACAGGTCCCCCTCCACGTTGGAACACTATCACCCCTCGCCCCACCCCTCATGATATTCGCAATCTCTCCACCTATGCACCCTCTCCACCTAACCTCCATAATGTCATCGCTCAGCACCTCTCCCCTCACGTCCTCCAGCAAGTCCAACACCTTCTTCCCACACCCACCACCACCCCTACGCCCTCCACCCTCACCACTCCGCCTCCACCCACGCCCCCACCTCAAACCCCTCCCTCCCCCTATCCTCCTCTCTATCCTCCTCCTTATGCCGGCTGGCCCTACCCTCCCTACCCCCCATCTATGTATGGCCATAGAACTGCCGCAACTGCTGCAACTGCTGCAACTACTGAACAACCCACCTCCTCCTCTCACCCCCCCGGCTTCTTTCCTTCCACAGGCTTCATAGGTCATGTCATCACTGCTAGCTATTGCAATGATCTTATGTATGCCAATGCTATTAATGAGTCCTCATTCCAGTACTCCGTGTCCTCCTCCTCCCAGCCCCTTGAGTTCATCCTTGACAGCGGTGCCACACACACGGTCCTTCGTGATGCAGGCACGCTCCTCCCCCTCTCCACCCCCTCCACAATCTATGGGGCTGACTCAAGCTTTGCCATACAAAGCCGTTACACCTCCACACTCCCCTGTCCCCTCTTTCCCTCAGGTACTGTCACAGGTCTCTATATCCCCTCCCTTCGTAACAACCTGGTTTCCCTTGGTGCCCTCTCAACGGCAGGTGTCACCACCTTATTTCCTGGTCACGCAGCATATTGTGACTTATTTCACACCTCCTCCGGTCGCTTCCTCTGCCGTGTCCATCGGTGCCCCTCCACCCACATGTACACCTTCCGCATCCCCCGCCCCACCCTTCACCAACTCTCCACACCCCATCCCCTCGCCCCCTCCCCTCCTCTCGAACCTCTCCCTCCCCCTCCAACTCCCCCTCCCCCCTCCCTTCCCCCTCCCCCTCCCCCTCCCCCTCCCCCTCCCCCTCCCCCTCCCCCTCCCCCTCCCCCTCCCCTCCCCTCCCCTCCCCCTCCCCCTCCCCCTCCCCCTCCCCCTCCCCCTCCCCCTCCCCCTCCCCCCGCCCCTTCCCCCCCCCCCCCCATCTAACCCACCCTCCCCCTGTCACTATCGTAATCTCACACACCCCACCATTCTCCTCCACCATCGCCTGGGCCATCCCAACTTTGCCACCCTTCGCCGATCCATCCTCACTAATCTCCTTGACGGTCTCCCCCTTACCCTTCCCCCCCTCCCTCCGTCCCCCTCCCCTCCTTGCTCAGTTTGTGTTGAAAGCAAGCTGAAGCAACAACCACACACGAGTAACCCCTCCTTTTCCCTCCAACCCCTTGACCTCGTCCACATGGATCTGTGGGGCCCTAACCCTTCCCCCACCAGGCAAGGACATCGCTATCTCCTCATCCTGGTGGATGATCACAGTCGATACTCCTCCGTCACCCTCCTTCGTACGAAGGCGGAGGCCCCGGCTGCCATCACTGAATGGGCTGAACAAGCATGCAACCACTTCGGTCGCCCTATTCGCCGCTTCCATTCCGATGGAGGCGGTGAGTTCCTCAACCGCACCCTGTCCTCCTACTGCACCACTCACGGCATCCTCCACACCTACACTCTCCCTCACTCCCCTCAGCAGAATGGTGTGGCGGAGAGCCGCGTGCGGGAGATCACCAAAACGGCTCGGTGCCTCCTCGTTCACGCCTCCTGCCCACCTTCTCTGTGGGGCTATGCCATCCTTCATGCTGCCATCCTCACTTACCTCTACCCCCACCCTTCCCGTCCCAACTCCACCCCCACCGAACTATGGACCTCCAGCAAGCCTGACATATCTCCTCTGCGCGTCTGGGGTTGCAAGGCGTATGTCCTCATACACCCTGCTGACCGCTCACGCGCACATGGAAAGCTTGCGTCCCGCACACTCCCCTGTGTCTACCTTGGACACAACACCAACTCACCTGACTACCTTTTCCTCCACCCCCCCTCAGGCCGCCTCATCCGTAGTCGGGACGTGGTCTTTGACGAGGCCACCCCGTACTACACCTCCCCCTCCGCCCCTAACCCCCTTCCCCCATTTCCCCGGCCCCTTCTCTGGACTGACACCCTGCCCCTCCTCCCGTCCCCTGCCATTACCCCTCCCCCCCCTCCCCCACCCCTCCCCCCCCTCTCCCCTCTCCTCCAGCTCCTCCGGCGACATTCTTAACCCACCCCCCCCCTCCCCCTCCCACTCCACTACCTCACCTTCCGATGCAACCCACCTCCCTCCTCCTCCTCCCCCTCCTCCACCTCCCCCACCCCCTTCCCCTCCATCCCCCCTCCCCTCCTCTAATCCGGCCCCCCCTCCACCTCCCCCCCCCCCTTCCCCGGCGCCCCTCCCCTACCCTTGTCCTTCCCCGCTATCCCCACACCCGCTCCCTGGACCCCATCCTTGGTTCCCCACAGACTTCCCCCCCCTCCCTCCTCGCCCTCACCGGTACTCCCCTCCCCCCCCGCTTCAGCCCCCTCACTCCAGATCCACTGCGCAACCGCTCCACGCTCTTTACTGCACCACCGCGCAGCCGAGCAGCAGCACTTCAATGTCCCAGACTCGACCTCTAGCGCAGCTGTCTTGCATCTTCACCACCCCCTCTACCTCCTCCTCTCTCTCCTCTCCTCTATGAAGACACCCACGACGAACTCCTCTTCCTCCACCTCCTCGCGCCCTCCATCGCCTCCATCGTCCGCACCATGGCAGGCACTCCAGTTCTTCTTTTCTCGGGCACCCCCACCATCTTCGAACCCACCACGTACGAGGAGGCTATTGCGTGCCTCGACGCACCACTCTGGATTGAAGCCATGGTCAAGGAGAGCAACGCCTTCATCCACAACCACTCCTTCATCGACGTCCCTCGCCCTGCCAAGACCAATGTCGTCAAGGGCAAATGGCTCTTCCCTGTCAAGCTTCTCCCTGGCGAAGACCCTGTTTACAAAACTCGCTATGTGGCGAAGGGCTTCACGCAAAAGCACGGCTTTGACTTCTTCGAAACATACTCACCCACTGCTACCCCACCAGTCGTTCGGGTGTTCCTCGACTTTGTCGGCAGACGCGACATGCTGTTACACTCCATGGATGTCACTACCGCCTTCCTCCAAGGCGACCTACACGAACTCATCTTCATGGAACGCCCCAAAGGCTTTCACGCTCCACATGACCCGTCCACCGTTTGGAAGCTGCTCCGACCCGTCTACGGCCTCAAGCAGGCACCCCGGGAGTGGCATGCCAAGCTCTCTTCCACCCTTCGCGAGCTTGGTTTTCGCCCCTCCCGAGCTGCCTCCAGCCTCTTCCTTCGGACGACTCCGTCCCCTTTCTACATTCTCGTCTACGTCGACGACATGCTACTAGCCGCTGACACAGATGTTGAGATGCAGGAGGTCAAGGACGAACTACAGCGTCGCCTCGCCTGCAAAGACCTGGGGGAGGTCCGCAACTACCTTGGCATAGAGATCACCCGCGACCTCAAGGCTAAGACTATCTCCCTCTCTCAGTCCTTCTACATTGAGAAGGTCCTTGAGAGGTTTGGAATGTCAAAAGCCAAGCCCATCGCCACCCCGCTTGCGGTTGGGCACCAGCTCTTGCCCCCTGCCACCCCCACCGACTCCTCTAACCCCTATGCAGAACTTGTCGGGGCCCTGATGTACGCCATGGTCTGCACCCGCCCCGACCTTGCCTACCCGGTCAGTGTTCTGGCGCGATTCGTTGGTGTCGGCAGGCACACGGAGGAACACATGACGGCAGCCCGGCGTGTCCTACGCTACCTTCAGCACACGAAGGATTACACCCTCACCCTTGGTGGAGCAGACCCGCCGGTTCTCACTGGCTTCAGCGACTCGTCCTGGGCAGACTCACAGCCTGACCGTCGCAGCTCACAAGGATATGGCTTCACCCTTGGGAGCGGCCTCATCAGCTGGCGCTCCACCCGCTCCTCCTCCGTCGCCCTCTCCTCCTGCGAGGCTAAACTGTACGCGGTCACGATGGCAGCACAGGAAGCACGCTGGCTCAGCTATCTCCTCACGGACCTTGGCTCACCACAGCCTTGTCCCACTCTCTGGTGTGACAACGCCAGCATCATCCACCTCACCAAAGAAGCTGTGTTCCATGGTCGCTCCAAGCATATCGAGCTCCGACACTACTTCGTCCGTGATCTTGTCCAGGATGGCCACATTACCGTGCGCAAGATCGACTCTTCCTCCAACCCCGCCGACATATTCACCAAGGCCCTCGACCGCTCTACTCACTCGGCAATTTTGCCGCTCCTGGGCCTTGCTCCCCATGGTGACTGATTCAGGGGTTGCTGTCTTATCTCATCCAGGTTTATAGATCTATGCAGGCTAAGGGGTTGTGTTAGATTATACTACTCTTCTGTATCCTGCATTGATCCTATAAACCCTAGGACAGAGATAGGCACCCAAACTATGTTTGGGTGCACAACTAGGGTTAACCCTAGTTGGGGGTTGGAACCCAACCTTGGTCCAATTATTGGCCCCCAAGGTTGAGTTGAGAGATTATTGGCCCCCCCAATAATGTTGGCCCACTTTTGGCCAACATTATTGGGACCCCCCAATAATTCTCCAACCTAACTTATTGGTGGGGGCCAATAATGATGACTGGGTACCCAACCAACCCCCCCTCCCCTAGCTTCAACTATGTAAGCCCGTATGATTCCTAATCAAGAATATGGTTCAATTCTAACAAAGTCGGGTCGCTGGTCGACTCGAGACTTCCGAGTTCGGGGAATTGCTCCTATGACCCGACCGACCTGACTAAAACGTTGCTTCTATGGCTGACAGTAAGGTCGACCTGATCTGACTGTGCCATTCAAGTATACCCGCGTGGTAATATTGAAGGCTCATATTGAAGCCTAATATTGAAGGCTCATATTGAAGGCTAATATTGAAGGCTAATATTGAAGGCTAATATTGAAGGCTAATATTGAAGGCTAATATTGAAGGCTCATATTGAAGGCTAATATTGAAGGCTAATATTGAAGGCTAATATTGAAGGCTAATATTGAAGGCTAATATTGAAGGCTAATATTGAAGGCTCATATTGAAGGCTCATATTGAAGGCTAATATTGAAGGCTAATATTGAAGGCTAATATTGAAGGCTAATATTGAAGGCTCATATTGAAGGCTAATATTGAAGGCTAATATTGAAGGCTAATATTGAAGGCTCACCTGCGACCGGCTGATGTTGATCTGGGACTTGCTGGTGAGCTCAGTGAAGATCCTCTGCTCTAACTGCGCCACCAGCTCCTCATGGTACACCACGAAATCCGATATAAACAGCTCCAGGTCGGCTCTTAACGGGGACACACACACGCAGGAGAGCGACTCGTTATAGAGCGGTGCGCTAGGGCTGTAGAGGTCGTTCTGGCAGGCGAGGCCGTCGCAGAAGGCAGGGGCGGTGTACTGGGTGAGGGGGGTCGGGGGGGAGCAGACTTCCGTGTAGTCTGGATTGAATGGCTTGCAGAGATCGTTATTGAACAGCCTGTGGGGCATGGGAGGGCAAAGGAAGGAAGGGAGATGCAGGGGAAATAGGTAGACGTGAAAGGCGAGGAGAAAGTAGAAAGGGGGGGAGCAGGAAGGAGAGGAGGGGCAGGGAATAGAGGAGGAGCGGGGAAACAAGGGGGTTGAAGAGAGAGGGTGGAAAAGAGAGAATGAAAATTCGAGGGTGGAACAGAGGGGGTGGAACATAGGGGTTGCTATAGCAGCGACAGCAGCAGCAGCACTGTTGTGTTCAGGTACTGACAGTGAGGTTGACACGCTGGTCAGGGGGGTGATAGAAAGGCCACTCAGTAGAGTGAGGGAAGCACACTAGAGGGCGGCACACACACTCACTGCAGCGTGAGGTTTGTTTCGGCGAGCATGGCGGGCGGCATGGAGGAGAGGGAGAGAGGCATGCCCAAAGGCGCAGTCACTCACTGCAGTGTGATGTTGTTGCTCTTGGCGAGCAGGGCGGGCGGCACATTAAGAGGCAGCACACTAGAGAGGGGTAGTGGTACACGAGAGAGGCCACTCACTGCAGCGTGATGTTGTTGCTCTTGGCGAGCAGGGCGGGCGGCAGGGAGGAGAGGGAGTTGTCAAAGAGGGAGAGCGACACGATGCTGGGCAGCCATGAGAGGTCCGGCAGGGCGCCGCTGAGCTGGTTGCCGGATAGGAAGCTGGGGGATGGGAGAGGGGGTTGGTGGAGGGAGTGAGGGAGACGTGTGTATGGTTTATTTTTCAAAAACAGAGCGCGAGGGGGACACGATGCTGCTGGGTAGTGCTGCTGAGAGGTCTGGCAGGGAGGGAAGCGCTGAACTGGTTATTGACTAGGAAGCTGGGGACCGGGAGAGGAGGCGATAGGAAGGGAATGAGGAGAGAATATGAAGGAAGGCAGAAGGGGAAGAACATGATGTTGCGAAACGAAACGAGAATGGCCAGATTCTCCGAAGGTTGAACTTACTGGTGCTCCCACTCACACGGATTACAGCTTGGCGGCAGTGGTGATTTCTGAAGGTAATGTCGAGTCAAGGGCAATACTTTTGAGGCGCCTCAAAAGTAGACACCATCCCCACTCACACAGATTGCAACTTGGCAGCAGTGGTGATTTCTGAGGGTAAACTTGAGTCAAGGGCATTGTTGGCCAGATTGCTGGATATGGAAGAGGGAGGGAAATAGGAGGGAGAGAGGAGGGGAGGGAGGGAAATAGGAGGGAGAGAGGAGGGGAGGGAGGGAAATAGGAGGGAGAGAGGAGGGGAGGGAGGGAAATAGGAGGGAGAGAGGAGGGGAGGGAGGGAAATAGGAGGGAGAGAGGAGGGGAGGGAGGGAAATAGGAGGGAGAGAGGAGGGGAGGGAGGGAAATAGGAGGGAGAGAGGAGGGGAGGGAGGGAAATAGGAGGGAGAGAGGAGGGGAGGGAGGGGGTGGAAGGGCAAGATTAAGATGAGGCTAGCGTTGTTCGCCAGATTGCTGCAGACGGATGGAGGGAGGAGAGAAAGAGGAGGAGGGGTCATGACAAGCAGCAGGGCGAGGGGTCGGTTAAATTGGAGTTTAAGCCTCAAACCAAGTGCAAGGCATGGGGTGCATGGCATGGTGTGCTGTGCAGGAGGGAGGCGGAAATGAGGGAGGACATTTGTGATATGGGGACATAATATGTGCCTTTCTTAATGCAGATTACCAACAATCAGCATGGTGCATGGGATGGCATGGGGGAAAGGCACACAAGTAAGAAGGGCACGAATTGATGAACTGACAGGTTGACGAGGTTGGGGTGCTGCTCAAACAGAGTGCCCGGGATGGCGCCTGTGAAGCTGTTGCTGCTCAGGTCGCTGCGAGGAGGGAGGGGGAGCAGCGACAGGAAGGGGGAGGGGGGCAGGGAGGAGGAGTGGAGGGGGGGGAGGCAGGGGAAAGGGGACAGAGTGCCTGGGATGGCGCCTGTGAAGATGTTGCTGCTCAGGTCGCTGCGAGGAGGGGAAAGGGGGGCGGCGACATGATGGGAAGGGGGGCGAGCGAGTGAAGGGGAAACCAGAGGTTGGAAAGGGGGAGGATAAAGGACAATGGTTGGGCGCACAAACTCAAAACATTGGAGCACGACAATGGAAAGAGACACTGGACTGGGGGAGAACGGGGTAGATGGGTTCGTTTGAATGGAGTGGTGCAGATCATGTGACCGTACGACATGCGACCATTGTGATTGGCTTGGCGTTCTCAACTCGATGGTGGAACCAACTCGATTGTGTCCTTTCAGGTTGGAACGTGACTTTCGTTTTCCAGTCCCCAAGATGGATAGATTGGTCGTGGTGGTGGTTGATGGATGGATGGAAGGATGATGGAGAATGGATGTATGCATTGCAAAACAAGGCTTACAGGTTGGAGAGGTTGAGCGAGACAGGGAAGGAAGGGAGAGGCTGTTCGGGTAGAGAGCAGTTGCTAATGAGGCTGAGTGGGGATGAGACACACATACACATACACATGCACATGCACATGCACATGCACATGCACATGCACCCCCACACACAAGCATGTAGACATGCGTACATGCACACATGCATCAACACACACATGGATGTATGTGAGCATCAGAGCATCACATCCATGCCATGCAATGCACATGCGCATACACACACGAACATAGACACATGCATGCACATGCACATCCACAAAAGCACGCACAGAGACAAATGTGCATAGACGCATGCATAGACACGTGCATCACATGTACCAGCAAAGCAGGCATTGAAATTAAGAAAATAAAAGCAGACACGATACCATCTGCTGTACCATCAACATTGCTCTGCAAAATGTGTGTGATTGATGAGCACACACAGAAAATGGACGAATCAAGCAAGGAAATAGTCACCCAAACTAGAGCCCCGGTCTCAGAATCCTTGAAGTAAATCAGAGGACAAAAACGTCGGAACCCTGCGTCGGGGAAAAATGCTTGGGGTTGACTCGAAGGGTTGGACTCACAAGTCCTTGAGTTGGGGGAAGAACCAGGTGGAGGGGAGGGGGCTGGGTATCACGTTGTGGCTCCAGTAGCTGGTTGGTTGGTGAGGGGGGGCGGGGAGGGGGAGGGAAAGGACGGGAGAAAGGAGTCGGGGGAAGAACCAGGTGGAGGGGAGGGGGCTGGGTATCACGTTGTGGCTCCAATAACTGGTTGATGAGGCAGCGAGGAGGGAGGGAAGAGCAGGGAGAAGGGAGAGGTGGAGGGTAGAAGTGTTGGTAATAATACACTGTGGCTCTGTTGGAACTTGGATGATGAACGGTACGAGACGACTTTTGAGTCGACTCAAAAGTCAGCTCTGTTGGAACTTGGATGATGACATGACGGTACGAGACAAGCAGAAAGTCTGAAAGTTGCAAGCACCTAGTGAAAAGTGGCAGACCAGTGGCAGGAAGCAAGCAACATAAATAGGTGGTGCCCAAATCCGATCAGAATTATCAATGCTCGCTAAACACATGCTTCCATTCTTTTTATCTCATCTTTAATGCAACACATCACTCGGACTAGCAGACAGGAAATCCTCCTCTTTATTTTTTAGTAACGAGAGTTCGAGGAAAATGTCTGCACACACTTACATGACAGTGAGGTTGGTGTTGTTGAAAGCGAGTGGAAAGTCATGGGTGAGACGGTTGCTGTCCATCAGCCTGCCATGCAACACACGACAGCAGCGGAAAAGGAATCCACGATGGGTAAAAAAAAACAAATTAGATGCACAACACGACATATGTAACGACTGACACATGCGCGCCCTCAGCACGACTGACACATGCGCGCCTTGAGCAGGACTCACAGGTGCAGCAGTTTGGGCAGTCTGCTGATCTCTGCTGGAACAGACGTGAAGAGGTTGTTGCTCATGTGGCTGTAGAGCAGGTGGGCCACAGAGGGGGACAGAGGAGGAGGAAGGGAGAGAGAGGCGGAGGGGAGGAAATGAGAAGGGTCTGCGTCTCATGTATTGGAGGAGTCGAGGGGGAAGGGAAAGGGAAGGGGAGACGAGGGGGAGAGAAAGGCGGGAGGGGGGGAAGGCAAAGAAGCAGAAAGCGAACAGGACAGTGGAAGAAAAGATGGAGGGGAGAGAGGACGTGGGAAGAGATGCTAGACACTCACAGGTGCCCGAGCTCGTTTGCGCCCTCGAACAATGACAGGGGCCCTTCCATCCGGTTGTGCATGACATCGAGCATGTAGAGGCGCGGGAGGGGAAGGAGCAGAGCAGGCGGGGGTGCGTGATACTCACAGGTGCGGTGAGAAGGGATGATAGACACTCACAGGTGCCCGAGCTCGTTGGCACCCTCGAATGTTGGCAGAGCCCCTTCCAGCTGGTTCTCCATGACATCAAGCATGTAGAGGCGCGGGAGGGTGCCTATCTGTGCAGGCGGGGGCGGGTGACACTCACAGGTGCCCGAGCTCGTTTGCACCCTCGAATGTCGGAAGAGCCCCTTCCAGCTGGTTCTCCATGACGTCAAGCATGTAGAGCTGGGGGAGGGTGCCGATCTGTGAGGGCAGGGAGCCCGAGAGGCGGTTCTGGTTGACCAGGAAGTATTTGAGGCTCGTGAGGCGCCCTATGGTGGATGGGATGGTGCACGATAGGCCGCACCCATGCATGTCCCTGTGTGTTGAAAGGAGGAGGGGTAGGGAAGAGGCGGTTGTGGTTGACAAGGACGTGTTTTGAGGCTGGTGAGTCGCCCTATGGTGGATGAATTTTGAGACATCTCATAGACTCATAAGCCCACTGGTGGTCGGGATGGAGCCTGACAGACCGCACCCAAGCATGTCGCTGCTTGTTGCTGAGGGGCCGTAGACGGGGTGAGGGAAGGGGAGGGGGAGAGTAATTTCAGATAGCATGTGTGCTTACAAAAAACAGTGTGTATTCTTATATCATGGATGCAGACAACGCAGCAGTGTGGTTACAACAACGCAGCACAGTGCTTACAGCGCAGCAGAGCAGAGAGTGCTCACAGCACAACGCAGAACAGCAGAGAGTGCTCACAGCACAACGCAGAACAGCAGAGAGTGCTCACAGCACAACACAGCACAGCAGAGAGTGCTCACAGCACAAAGCAGAACAGCAGAGAGGGCTCACAGCACAACGCAGAACAGCAGAGAGGGCTCACAGCACAACGCAGAACAGCAGAGAGGGCTCACAGCACAACGCAGAACAGCAGAGAGGGCTCACAGCACAGCAGAGAGGGCTCACAGCGTGGTGAGCTGCAGAAGGTTCCCGAGTGCATCTGGAAAGCTGCCTGTCATATTCGGGTTGAGCGCCAAATTGCTGTGACAGGGAGGACATAAAAGGGGAGGGACAAGGATGGGAGGTGTGGGAAGGGAGCGCCGCTTTGGTGAACGACACACCAGCCTCTGATTTCAGGGTTGAGCGGCAGATAAGGAGGACAGAAAAGGGGAGGGACAGGATGGGAGGTGGGGACGGGAATGGAGTACCACTTTGGTGAATGACAAACCAGCCTCTGATTTTAAGGTTGAGCGGCAGATTTCTGTGGGGCCGGGGCAGACGGGGAGGGGGGAGGGGGGGCGGAAGCAGATTGCTGTGAGACGGAAGCTCCCCATGAGCTCGAAGCTCCCCATGATGGAACAATTAAGTGCGCCAGATTGCTATGGATGGGACAGCGAGGGTGCAACTGGGAGGGGGAGGAAGGCGGGATGGAAAGTGCGAGACTGCACTGAGATAAAACCAGCCCACGAAGAAAGAGTTAATCGCCAAATCTAAGTTAAGCGCCAAATCTGAGTTAAGCGCAAATTCTAAGTTAAGCGCCAATTCTGACTGCAGTGAGATACAACCAGCGAGGGTGCAACTGGGACGGGGAGGAAGGACGGATACCTTGACTAATTGCGATGGTAAAGATGGAAGAGGAGAGAAGGAGAGGACGGATGCAGTCAAATGAACGAGAGGGAGGAGCGGATGGGAATGCATGGCAACTCACAGCAAGCGCAGCGATGTGAGGTCGAAAAGGGAAGGCGGCAAGTCTCCTGCTAGATTGACTTTTGAGTTGACTCAAAAGCCACCTCGGATGGGCATGGCATGGCATGGCAACTCACAGCAAGCGCAGCGATGTGAGGTCGAAAATGGAAGGCGGCAAGTCTCCTGATAGGCTGGCGTCCTGAATGTCACTGAGGGAGGAGTGTGAAAATGCAAAGGGGAGCGACGGGGTAGGAGGGTGTGTGGGGTGGAGAGAAACATCGTGAGGCATCCGGTGGAGGAGAATTCACACAATACGTCTGCAGGCAGGCAGGCGGGCGGTGCAAACCAAGGGAGAATCAAGTCTGCCCACGTCGCACTTGATGTCACGCGCTCCACAGCCACACCTCAGCCAGCCCACATGCTCGCTTCTTCTGCCCCGCCACACCACACGGGTCAACCACCACCCCTCCAGGCACAAGTCGTCGTGTTTCCGATTGGCTTGAGCTGTCATCTCTTGCACAATGTTATTTTTGAGTCGACTCAAAAGGTGACTTTTGTAACGAGGTGACTTTTGAGTCGACTCAAAAGGTGACTTTTGTAACGAGGTGACTTTTGAGTCGACTCAAAAGGTGACTTTTGTAACGAGGTGACTTTTGAGTCGACTCAAAAGGTGACTTTTGTAACGAGGTGACTTTTGTAATGAGGTGACTTTTGAGTCGACTCAAAAGGCACAAGTCGCCGTGTTTCCGATTGGCTTACGCTGTCATCTCTTGCACAATGCCTTTGTGGGGACTTTCGTTGCTTACTTTATGCACCATTTTTATCCAACAGCCACTGCACTGCAGTTATGCATCCTTAGATAGATTAGGTGTAGATTGGACACACGAGTAGTGATTATAGTTATTGCCAAACGCCTAGTACCAACCAAGATGCAATGCCAGCCGTGTAACATCCCAAAGGTAACTGGATTTAGACTTTGGTGCAGCTCAGCTAAGTGTGGAAAAGAGGGGCGGGCAGTACAACAGAGGAAAATGCAAGGAAGGTTTGGAATATCGTTTGAGTGCGGCTGGACTTTTTCAAGAATCTAACAGGAACGTTGATGAAAACTCGGCATGGCTCCAACCAATCACCAGAGGCAAGGCTGGAAGGGAACAAACCTCCAACAGTGTCCTCCAGAAGTAGGGATGGCAAAGAAAAGGATTACAAAGAACCACTGTCGAGAGTGGGATTTGAACCCACCCCTTATCGGACTGAAACCCTAATCCAGCGCCTTAGACCAACTCGGCCATCTCGACACGGATACAGATATTCTCGCACACTCCAGTGGTTTTCCTCGACCTTTTGGACAGAACAGGGGTTCCAGTGTAGCACTTGATGCCAGCTCACACTCTCCCCTCGCCCCCCACATGGGTCTTCCCCCATCCAAGGACAGAGCACCCCAACACACTCTCCCCATCTGCTGTACACGGGTCATCCCCCCTCCAAGGACAGAGCACCACCCTATTGCCCCTCACTGCACTCACATCTCAGCCACGCTGTTATACGGGCTGCCAGTGTCGCACTTGATGCCAGCCCATGCACCCCCCCCAATTGCCTCGCACACGGGCACAGAGCACCACCCCCAGTCCCCCATCCTGCACTCACATCTCAGCCACGGTGTTATACGGGCTGCCAGTGTCGCACTTGATGCCAGCCCATGCACCCCCCCCAATTGCCTCGCACACGGGCACAGAGCACCACCCCCAGTCCCCCATCCTGCACTCACATCTCAGCCACGGTGTTATACGGGCTGCCAGTGTCGCACTTGATGCCAGCCCATGCACCCCCCCCAATTGCCTCGCACACGGGCACAGAGCACCACCCCCAGTCCCCCATCCTGCACTCACATCTCAGCCACGGTGTTATACGGGCTGCCAGTGTCGCACTTGATGCCAGCCCATGCACCCCCCCCAATTGCCTCGCACACGGGCACAGAGCACCACCCCCAGTCCCCCATCCTGCACTCACATCTCAGCCACGGTGTTATACGGGCTGCCAGTGTCGCACTTGATGCCAGCCCATGCACCCCCCCCAATTGCCTCGCACACGGGCACAGAGCACCACCCCCAGTCCCCCATCCTGCACTCGCATCTCAGCCACGGTGTTATACGGGCTGCCAGTGTCGCACTTGATGCCAGCCCATGCACCCCCCCCAATTGCCTCGCACACGGGCACAGAGCACCACCCCCAGTCCCCCATCCTGCACTCACATCTCAGCCACGGTGTTATACGGGCTGCCAGTGTCGCACTTGATGCCAGCCCATGCACCCCCCCCAATTGCCTCGCACACGGGCACAGAGCACCACCCCCAGTCCCCCATCCTGCACTCACATCTCAGCCACGGTGTTATACGGGCTGCCAGTGTCGCACTTGATGCCAGCCCATGCGCTCCCACAATCTGGCGTGGCATGGCACATCATACTGCGCGTGCCGCCTGACCGCTTTGCACTTAATGCTAGCCCATGCTCTCACTGCATCTGCACCAATTTAGCAAGGGTCATCCCACTGCCCCTCGATGCACTCACATCTCAGCCACGATATTATATGGACTGCCAGTGTCGCACTTGATGCCAGCCCATGCGCTCCCCGCATCTCCCCCACACGGATCATCCCCCGTCCACGCGTTGAAAGGGAGACCACTGGGGTTGCCTAATGCAGCAAAGATCTTTAGAATGGCGACTGCAATAAGGGGTGAGAGAAGGGGGGGAACGAACACAAGGAATTGTTGTGCGTCGACTCAAGAGAGCGGAGCATGGGCATGGCCAGCCGCATGGGGCATCTGCTGGGCATGTCTTGGGTTGCGGCGTCCGGGAAAGAATGACACGTAGTGCCACCATATGCGGCGCCTCATATGCCACATATGCGGCGCCTCATATGCCACATATGCGGCGCCTCATATGCCACATATGCGGCGCCTCATATGCCACATATACGGTGCCTCATATGCCACATATACGGTGCCTCATATGCCACATATACGGTGCCTCATATGCCACATATACAGCGCCTCATATGCCACATATGCGGCGCCTCAAGGGCAGACGGCATCAGCTGTGCATGTCTTGGGGCTGCTGGGGTTGCCTAGAGCATTGAAGGTCCTCAGATTGACCACTGGAAGGTGGGTGAGAGAGGGGGGGGAACGCACAGAAGGAATTGTTGTGTGTCCCCTCAAACGAGCGTGAACTGGGCATGGTTGTGGCACACGGCATCAGCTGTGCATGTCTTGGGGCTGCTGGGATTGCCTAGAGTATTGAAGGTCCTCAGAATGGCCTGTGGAAGGCGGGGTGAGCAGGAGAGGAATGCACGGAAGGCCTTGTTATGTGGCGCCTACCTGGGCATGAACATGAGCGTGAGCGTGAGCGCATGAGCGCATGAGCGCACGAACGCACGAGCACATGAGCGCATATGAGCACATGAGCACATAAGCATCATCTGATCGATATGATTCGCATAATCAAGTTTAAGGCCGCACACTCATGCGATGACATGGGTGGACTATGTAACGCATGCACCATCTGGCGGAGAATATTCTGCTGCGCACAGGGTTCCTCAACACTTTCGAAATTGGTGTGTGGAAACCCTAATTCTGACGAATATGATCATCGTGCCGTGTTGCACCGTCTGGTGGCGATCACATGGCATCCTCACGAACGCTTTCGCAAACTGTTGAAAAATATGCCTTTCGCCGCCCGATTCGTATCAAGTCATATAATCGACAATATGTGCATAAGTGTCTTGACTTGAAGACTCTAAAAGTACGTCAGAACGAATTGCCCTACCTTGAGCGGGATCAGTGGCAGCGAGGGCGCCGCGACTCGGAAGAAAGGCAGCGAGCAGCGCAAGCGTTACTACAAGGGGCAATGAAATTCGCACAGGCGATGTGATTCGCACAGGCGAAGAAATTCGCACGGGCGACGTTACTCGCAGCTGCGCACCACAACGAGACCTGGCGCAGTGAGCCATTCTTGAGGCGGCGCCTTGAACAAAGCTTCCGCCTGGAGTGAATCGCATGAAGTAATCGCGTGAAAAAACTCACCGACGGAGTCCTGTACCGGCAATTACTCGTGGTGACTGCATCTGTCATACATGATAGGAAAGGTAACTACGACGCGCGTCGCACGCAGTGAAGTGATGTCTGGCTGCTGCTTTCTTGTCATGAGCCTTGTTCTGTACTGTGACGTGTAGCACCGTTCTGAAGTTACAACCAACCGAATTTTTACGCATTGAATCTTTCATAAACGTAGTGAATTGCATCTCTGAATGTGACGCAATGTTTACGTCTCTGTACGAGCGTGTTGTGCAATTTCTTGGTACGGGCTCCGCTGTGTTCTCGCTGGTGATGCCGTACAGGTGCAGATTTCGCGAAGAACGTTCGGCTTGCAGTTCAAATTCGAACAGAGTAGGCGATTTTGCACGATACAGCACGGTTTTGGGATCTATTATACCCTTTCAGTCCCCTTTGCAGACCCCGTTTTCTATAAGGCTGGTGACTAATAGTGTCATGAGTTGTACAATGAAACAGTTAGCGGAATTTGATACCAATTAGTGGTTACAACTACCCATAAGAGAACCTTAACAAGGGACCTAGCTAGGCGGGGACCTCTAAAGATGACGTTTGTTGTGTTGAGATAAGTCAAATGAATTTAGCGATTCAGCAGTTCGATAAGTTTGTAGCATGTGTCTCTTCGAGATTGTAACAGTAAGGAGCGCGAATAGTCTCGAGACTGTTCGTGTGACGCTACAGTAGAAGTACCGATTTGGAGTGACGACTCGGTAAAAGCTCGTTTTGTGAACGGGTACATCTCTGAATAGGTACTTTTTTTTTTCTAGGACTATACTCTATGTATTTTCTATTAATTAATTATTGCTCTCAATTCACTCGTACATGAATTCCTACTTCTGCTGCAATATATATTACTAAGTCTAGTCTCTGAAAAGGTCTTAGGGCTTCACTCAGCACAGCATGGTATGAGAGCAGGAAAGACTACGATTTTCTAGACTGTAGTGCAGCTCAGTTTCTCAGGATCAACTCTTCATTACAGTCATGGCTGCTAACAACGACAACACCCGCTTTCATTGTGGAGGTGGTGGAACGTATCCTTCGGCACCACCACTATCTGGTGTTGCGTTCACCAGCCCCAACGGCTGCATCAGCAACTTGAGCAGGAGGCGATGGCGGATTTTCACCGCCCTCCACGCTTAATCTCGGAATCAAATCAGGTCAGAATCTCAGCCAGCACCTGTTGATCCTATGAAACAAGAGCAAGTGATGAGCATGTCGTAGTATCTTGCGACCATAAGCATCAGCGTCGGTTAACATGGGGACAGCACCTATGGGTGTTGATGGGTTATCGTACGCGGAACAACAACAGCCAATGTCTTACCGTGTTCCGCCTCAACAGCCATGGAAAACCTTCGCTTTTGTACCTCTGGATTTTTTTGCACAGCAACAGCAGCAACAACAAGACGGAGGTGTGGGAGTTAGAGAGGTAACGAGCTACCAACTTATATGCTGAATATTATGAAGTTTGATACTTCAAGGCTCTTCAACGGCAAGGATTTCTTTGCTTGGATCGTTGAGTTCGAGCTCATGATGGAAGTGGCTCAAATTTGGGAGTATTTCACACGAAAAGCTCAGTTCCCGGTGCAAGGTTCACCAGAAAGAACAACGCAATTCCGGCTTTCAGTCAATGATGGCCTTCACCATTCTTCGTCGAAATCTGTCACCAACGGAACGACATAGCATCAGGTCTTACAAAGAATACGGAAACTCATAAGAACTGGCATGGCAACATTTGAAGCGGGCTACAGACAGCGTGGCATAGAGTAGACTCATGGTGCGGCTAACAACATTACAAATGAAGGCAGGAGAATATCCGCTATAATACATCAACAGATTTAGAGGACTCCGCGACCAATTTGTGCGGAGTGGAGGAAGCTTCCCTGACTCCATGTTCGTGCCCGTTGTCATCGCTGGACTCGGTCCCCAGTGACGTCAGACACCCTCAGTTCGTCGAACTCAAGGCAACGTGTCAGAGATGCACATCTAGACGACTCTGCTAGTTGAACAGCATGACATGGGCTTGTTTGACAACAAGAGCAATGAAGAGGTGAATCCGTTTGCTTTCATGACAAGCAGCAGCCAAGGCAGCAACAGCAATAACACTACGTACTATCATCTTGTCATAACTGTTGGACCTCTGGACACTCTCGTGACCATTGTCCTGAGCTTCGCCAGCCTTCATCACAACGCGCAGTTGTTGCTTCACCACAAGTAGCCGCCGCTATTGCTGTTGTTGCACAGCCCAAGACACAGACAGCTTTGATGGCACGCGCTGATTCTTGTGCTCCAAGCTCACCTTCAACATTTTGCACCCGATGAAGTCTTGAAGCCGATTTCAACAGCACTTCAAGTTAATCCGCAGTACGCCAACGTCGTCGCTAACGCAGAGTACGGCCCCAATGTTTGGTTCCTTCACAGTTGCTGCGCACAACACATGTGCACATCAGACATCAACAACGGGTTCTTTGTTAAGCACGAGGAGAGAATTCAAGATGAGGTTAGAGTTACAGTCGCAAACAACCAGACACTACGTACCCAATGTCAAGGGACTGTTTTTCTTCACTCGCCAGCAACCAACACCGTCATACAGCTCTTGCGAATTCTTATCGTGCCTGGTCTTGGCTATAATCTTCTCAATGTTAGTCAACTCATGGTGAAGGGTGTACACGTGGAATGCGACAGCACAAAACGTCAGATACGCCTCTATTCTCCAAGGGGAGGGTAATACGTCGCGAAAGCAGTTAAACAAGGTGGGGTTCTCGTACTTAACGTGGAACGCGAAGGCACTTCATCTGACAATGAATGAGTGACCGCCTTCGGTATCTGGACAGATTGTTATCCGAAGGAGCTCAACATTAAACCATATCATCTTGGTTTCTTTTGAGAAGACAAAACATCAATTGCATCAGTAGCTGGCACACCGGGAACTTCAACAGTAGAAGAATCGATGAGTACTGGAGAAGGAACAGCAAAACCGATGCAATATCCGTCTGTACCTTCAAGTTCTTCTCACTCGACTGGTCCACTCGTCGTCGACATGTCCGCAAATAGGTGCGCTACACGAGAAACCAAGTCTCTTCGGATTCCTTGAACTACAACGGGTTCTTTGACAAGTCAGTTTTTTACGGACGATCTGCAGGACATGCAACATCAGAAGCAACATGGCATGCTCGGTTAGGACATCCTAGTGGCGTGCCAGCCTTTAATACTATACGAGCTGGGGTACTTGACAAGTATGCCTTACTTCTGATTGGAGGACAGGAGCTTCACCGGCCTCGCCACATTTGCACGATATGTCTTGAAGCAGATGTTCTTTGGCAACCATTCCTGTCACATCACAATCAGAGTGCACCTACGTACAAACTGCTGGAAAAAAGTGTACAGAGATATATTGGTGATTCCACGACAAGAAGGACGCCCAGGTCTCAACTCCGTTATTACCTTCATCGATGCTGCTACTTGTTACTTCTAGCACTCGCTCATTATTTCTCCCAACCTTGCTTATAGATCCTTCATTGCTTGGCGTCTGGTTGCTGAACAAGAGAGTGACCTGCTACTCAAGAGTTTCCGTACGGGGCGTTGGAGTACCAGCTAGATCGATTCAAGAGTTACTTGGCTGAAAGGGGAATCAAGCGGCTGCAGACATTGCCTTACCAGCATCAACAATATAGTGTAGCAGAACGGATGAACAAGACCATACAAGTCATCACATGCAAGCTGCTTATGCAAGCACGCATGCCAGCGCATCACGTGCCCTTTGCGATGGACCACGCAGTGTTGCTGCACAACCTTCTATTGTTGCAGTCTTTGCCAAAAAACTGCTTGCCATACATTGAGTGGATAGGGAAGCTAGGCAGCACAAAAATGTTTAGGGTTTTAGGTGTATGGTACAGTACCAGCCACCGAATACACTTGCAGGAAGATTTTTGCGGACAGTGCCACCCCTTACTATTCCGTTCCGATCAAGATCGATGAACCCGATTCTCACAATAATGTCAACGCCGAGTTCTATTACGAGTTCGTTGATAATGGAGCTATTGGTTCCATCTAACGAAAGGAGCGTCTGCATTAGTTTCAACTTCGAACCCGAAGCGGGAGACGAATATGCTACTCTTGAGGACGAGTAACAGACTTGCTGCATAGCAACTATATTACATATTTTGGGACTCGCTGTAGCTGTATGAAATCCAACAATTCCTACCGAACAAAAAACGGTCAACCAAGAGCTGAAGGGGCCCCACAGGAAAAAGTGGCACGAAGCCTTGGACAGGTAGCTGAATGGCACTGCACTATCGTAACATGTGGGATTTATTCCCTCTATCATCGGTCACTAGGCAAAATGTACTTTCGGGCAAGTGGGTACTTTGTGTCAAGACCAATGCTGATGGGCCAAATGAATGCTTTAAGGCGAGGTGGGTCATTCGCGGCTTTGATCAGACCCACGGCATTGATGGAACAAGCTCAACGGCTCTTGGGCTTGTTCTAGTGTTCCTGGATGAGAATTTCACCAAAGGATTTTCCTTAGAAGCAAGGAAAAACAAACAGAAAGAGAAGCAGCAAAACTACTCTCTCAATCCTACGAATGTATTTTTATGCTACTGTAATTTACATTTCTGAACATGCGGCTCGGAATGCCGATTCGGGTGGCCAGCCCTGACATCGAGCCGCATTCCTCCTTCCTATTTACAATTTGTACAACTCACTGCAATTGCACACGTGTAACATTCCTATTTCTTCAATTCTGGACTTCCGCCACCTGTCCCACGCGAAAGTCCCCCAAAGTCAGCCAAGACACGAAACCTCTGTTTCGTCCTCTTCACGCGGGCCCCCCACGTCCTGCTCACTTCCGCCCTTGTGCTGCCCA